GGTACATTGAGAACCATGGCGTAATTCACAATGTGTGGTTCAACACAACCACACGACAAAGGAAAGAGTACTACATGACGCAGTTTGTGGATGACTATTGGGATAATGGAACTCTACCCATTTGGATCACGGCTCAGAGACAGGTACATCTCAAGGCATAGTCAATCAATTATTAATTAGAAGCTCTAAAAGGCATCTTTGAAATAAGACCAACATAAGACTAGCTGGCAATATTATAGCACTTACATTTGTGATCCAGTGTAACAGACACCAGATAGTAAAGTGCTGTGCAGGTAAACCTCACTCACCTCTAAAAGGTGCTCTTGTGACAGACGCTAGAGGCCATGGTCTTTAGCCTTCTTGTTAGAGCAACTGCCTCCCATGCAGAAAGTCACCGATTTAATCCCAGCTCGGAGCAGGTTTGGTAGTGTAGGACTGGTAGGGTTACACCTAGACCACAAAACAGTGTCAATGTGAGATTTATACATATTTATAATTTGAATAAATTTTGCATTGATGGTTTCTTAGGACAAAGCCATAATTGGCAGAGACACAACTATTTAAATGTCTGCAATCCAACGGTTCGAAACATTGAGAAATTCACCTTCAAATTTGTCCAAGTTAAGTTCTTAGCCATGAAAATTTCTAATCAAAAATGAATTATTGATATGTTTACAGTTGAAAATTTTAAAAAATGCATTAATAGAACATCCTTTTACTTAATATTCTATAGATTTTTGGGGGGCATTTTGACTATTTTGGCAAAAATACCTGTGCAACATAAGACATAAGTTTTTTTCTATTCCAGGGTCACATTTAATTCATTTTAAACTTGAAAGAGATATACATAAACAGTACTTGGGCTATAAATTTGTGTCCCCTCTTAGGGTCTTAAAACAGGGTCCTTACACTTCCCTGGAACTGCAGCGACTTATCAGAATGAAACCGTTCAAGAGAGGGAGGTAGAACCAAGAGCCTATGACTATACCAATGAGACGGCATGGAAGGAGAACGTAGACAAAGTCATGAAAGACTGGTTTAAAGAACAAGACTTAGATTTTGTAACTTTGTATTTTGGTGACCCGGATGAAAGCGGCCACAAACATGGCCCTGATTCACCTGAGCGTCGTGAGGCAGTCAAGAAAGTGGACCGAACTGTGGGCTACATACGAGAAACTGCTGAGAAACTCGGCCTCAGTGACCATATGAACATCATCATCACAGCTGACCATGGAATGAGCACAGTGTTCAAAGGAGACCAAGTCAAAGAAATAGTCCTCACCGACATCCCAGGATTCTCTTACAAAGATCTGCAGTTCCACTTGTTGGACTATGGACCGACTGCGATGCTGTTGCCCAAAGAAGGGCTGCTTGACAAAGTTTATAATGCCTTGAAAGGAGGCCATCCAAACCTTCACATTTATAAGAAAGAAGACATGCCTGCTCGACTGCATTACTCTAAACACCCTCGCCTTCTTCCCATCATCCTCTATGCAGACCCAGGATATGTCATTAGTGGGGTAAATACCTAAATACGCCACAATGAAACATAACAACATAAAAAAAACATTATATTTCATGTGATTTTTTGTTTTAAACATTCTTCTAGTTTTATCCACTTCAGAACAATAAAGGAGAACATGGCTATGACAATGAAGTCATGGACATGAAGCCTTTTTTCAGGGCAGTGGGCCCAGATTTTCACAAGAACTTGTTGGTTGGACCATTCGAGACAGTCAACATTTACCCTCTTATGTGCCACTTGATTGGGATAAAACCAGAAATCAACGATGGGTCGCTGGAAAACACTCAACACATGCTGATATCCAATGGCGAGACGTGTGATTCAGGAGGTAGATCCATTTAAATGTATATCAGGTGTTTCCAAATTTGACAAAAGATAGATGAATGATTTCTTCAAGGTACATATTTAAATATCAAGGTAATATTTCACCCATTGTCTAGATAATATAATATAAATAAAACAAATTATAAGTTGCCCACATGTGAACCTTGAGTTACCCTGAGACTTAACTTGATAAGATGTGCAGTAGACACTGCTCTTCAACCTTTATAATTAACTATATTAACATACAGTATGAACCAGTTCACATCATCTTATCTTAAATTACACAACATTCACATCAAACAATATGCTTTATTTCTCGCTTTTTTTTCTTACAGATGATCCAAAGTCAAGTCTTCAAAATGTGTTTATTGGTCTTGCTGCTGTAGTTGGATTTGTATTTCTTGCATTTGTGGTTGTCACATCCTACAACGGATATAAAAAGCACAAACTGTATTCAAAGTAGGGCACAAAGCTACATTAACACATTATTTTTTGGGACAGTTTCTTCCCTTTTTAGAAAATCTGATCTGTTTTTTTTACCTTTATTCTTCAACAGGGAAATAGAGAAAGGATATGAAGATGAGATGCAAGGTGACTCCAAACAAACATCATTCTAAGTGGATGTTTTTTTTTAAAGGTCAAAATATATATATTAAAAAAACTGTTTTCACAACTGCAGAATTTCTAATAAACCTATAATAATACTTCTGAAAATTATATTTTCATATGAAGAATGATTTCACAAATTTATTTTTATGAAAATGTGCAAATAATAAACGGCATTATAAATTGAAATGTGTGTTGGGCCTTTTTTAAAAGTGCAAACCATTAAATGGAGTATATTCAATTCAACTCAACTGAACTCATCTTTATTTCTATAGCCCGTTTACAATGTAGATTGTGTCAAAGCAGCTTAACATAGACGTTCTAGTAAATTGAAACTGTTTCAGTCCAGTTTTCAGAGTTGAAGTTCAGTTTAATTCAGTTCAGTGTGGTTTAAATTTGCCTGAAGTTTAAACAGTGAAGAGCAAATCCATCGTTGCGCAGCTTCATAAGTCCCAAAACCAAGCAAGCCAGTGGCGACACTAGCTGTATTTTGCACAGCTAGCGTTTTTCAGCCATCAATAAACTTCCAGGGAAAAGGTAAATGTGACTATTTAAATATCCATATACAGCATCTGTGATGTAATGTAATAAAGTATCATCAGTGAAACAGACTTTAGCATTTATTTAGTTGTTGAGGTGTAAAACGTGATAAAAAAAACGTTTAATGCAAACACCCTCAGGAGCAGCAGACAATCAAAGAAACTACAATGAAAATACTGTAATAAACATAAATTTCATTATTTTAAAGACATGGTGCAGATCATTTTAATTTAGGGCTTCTTGTTCGGTCTGAGACCCTTTTTATTGTATATCAATCAGGCAGAGAAGACCATTGATTTTTCAAATGAACAGATCTTTAACGTGGGGATTTTGTAATGGCAAGACAGTTGACTGGAATCGATTGAGTTGGCGGTTACACTTTAGTTTGGTGGTCCGTTTGTTGAATTTAGGTTACATTGCATCTACATGGCAACTAATTTTCATTAAATTATAAGTAGACTATTAGGTTGGGATTAGGGTTAGTGTAAGTTGACATGTACTTGCAAAGTTTCTTATAGTCAGTTAAATGTCTGTTGAAGGAGCAGTATAAAACATTACGCAGACAGTCTACTAATACTCAAATAGACCATCAAAATAAAGTGTTATCGAGCTGGCTTACTGCAAATTAGAAGTCCTTGTGCATATACCTTATTGCCAATCAAACAAGAAGTCAAAAAGAATATCTGTCAGTGGTGTTCAAATCATTAGTTACTGTAGGTCTAAAAACTGTTGGGTGCTTGGGAATAACTGTGTACAACTCTGAATAATACAGAAAGCATTGCTAGTTTGTAAGACTGAGATCTCGCTTATCTAACAATTGATTTGTGTAGTTACCTTTTTTAATAGATTATTAACTTATTACAATATCTATCCACCAAATATGTTGACACAAATACTGTCAGTGAATATGTTTTTTTATGAACTTCTCTTTGCCAAAATTGTTAAATCAAATGACCTGTATAAGTAATGTTATGTGCATTGCATTGTATTAAATGTTATTTCATCTTGAATATTGTATAACTAGAAAAAAAGCTGAGCAATTTTACCAATACGTTATTCTTCAGTATTTTTGTGTTTATATTATAAACGTACCGATTCACTATGAACGTTTAAAGCTTTTATACTCTAATCAGAAACTCATTCACAACTGAAGTTCAACAGAAGCTGCAGATAAAAAAGGCCAACAAAAACCTGAGACAATACATAAGAACACCATGAACTGGCCTTGAACTCAATGGTAGTATGATTGTAGTGCTTAACAATGACCTCAAGAGTGCAACTTAAGCAGTGGTTTTGAATAATGCAAAAATCATTAAAATTTCGTAGAATTATGGATTTGTACAATTATACTAAATTAGATTAGGAACACGAAACTAGCACTCAAATGCATTAACATTCATAACATATGCATTTACTCAGACCACATTTTTACAATTTCAAATGCGCATAATTTCAGAATGAAATAATATTAAAAAATATGCATAAATAGTGTGCGGGTATAAGCAATGGAAAAACCTTTTGTTCTGCATGATCATGCATATTTTAACAAAGATTCTCTGCTAAAAAAGCCAGCATGAGCGTCTAAGCTAGTTAACACTGGTTTAACTGTTTAACCTTTAGAAGCACTGTCTGATTGATAAAGTCCAAATGCTTTTTTTTTTTTTTTTTTGCTGTCATAATACCTTCATAACTTAATTAGGCAATGTGAAAGTGATGACTACTTAGATACTTATCTTTTACCTTCACACTATTCAATCTTGATATAAAAATACCAAGTTCCATGTTACAAGCAAGTCGTAAATCTTGGAAAAATCACTTCGAAATAAGCTGCGAATTGCTTTTGTCCCATAACCCCTGATAAGACACTTGATAAGATAACATAAGATAGTGTAATTCTTCTCATAAACATCAATAATGTGTACTTTATGAGATGGCAAAGACCACAGACAAAAGGAGCAGTTAAAAGCTGAGACTGTTAGATCAGGAACAAACTTCAAAGCATCCAGAGACAGGCTAAACTTTTACATCAGAAGCACCTGGAGTGGAATACCTGTCATGTTACTGGCACTGAGTATTTTGCTGCTTGCATTCCCAGCATCTCTCTCTGCTCCTACCAGAGGTCACTGCACCACAGGAAAAAACAAACTGCTCCTAATCAGCTTTGATGGGTTCAGATGGGACTACGACCGAGATGTGGACACCCCAAATCTGGATAAGATGGCTGTGGATGGAGTCAAAGCAGCATATGTCACTCCACCTTTCCTGACCATCACCAGTCCTACACACTTCACCCTCTTATCTGGTAAGGAGAAAGGGAAAACAGCAATATATTAGAAATTTAAAGTGAATACATAATATATAGCGACTCTAAAATTACAAGTTTTAGATCAAACAATAATAAATGCTACCCTCCAAATGTGCAGATGCTCTACGGTTTGTTGAATTATAGTTGTTCTTAATTAGACTAATGGATGTTTCATAATATTTTAAGATTTTATGTGCCATTCGAAATTATAAAAGAATATGCAATATTTTTTTTTCTTCACGCACAATAATGTGACCTGTTTTCAATTTTATTTTATTTTTAAGCAAGAATATATCATGGTATTTTTGCCATGTCATATGGTGTAAATGTTTATATACCAAAAATGTAAAAAGTTTGAGATGCATATTTAGTGTTGATATCAAATGATGACATATTAAAAGACTATTCAAGCGTGTGGTCCAAAAATATTATTGAATGTCATTTTAAATGTTTATACTTTGGCACCATCCTTTAAAACACCAGGATTTACCTTTTTTTATTCATTTCTTTATAATAATCTTTCTTAATAAAAACACTCATTGTTCTGATAAGTACATGTCATATTAAGTATGTTGTTTCATCATAACATAAATACATCCTATACTACAGTATAAATGACAATGAAACATTATTTCCTAATTATTTTTTCCAAAATAATGTATTTAAAACATTATATGAGGCGATTTTCTTGCATATCCTTTTAATCTAAACTGAATTACTTTTGTAAAATGTATTTGATGCAGACACTAACTTGTCCATGTACTGTATAGCACCACAGTCTAATAAAGAGTTAGTTCTGAAAAAAAAAAATTAGACCACATGCTGTGAATTTTTATCTAATGCAAATAAATGTAATGTTTAATTTTAGTTTAAATGTATTTGGGGCAACTTCATATATTGTAAATATAGACTCAAAGAATAACCAAATGGATTTGCAGTTTTAAAATAATCATATATTTCAAAATGGCACAACAGCAATGCCAAGGTCAGAGGTTTGATTTTAAAGGGAATGTGTGAATTTCAAAATGAATAGACTTGAATGCAAAGTAAGTTCACTTTTATATATGACTGCCAAATGTACAGTATGCACTCATTTGTAATATTCCAGGAAAGTCTTAGTGGAACACTTAAGAAAATGAGTAACGCTGAAAAAATATGTTGTTGCATTTCTTAGGAAGGTACATTGAGAACCATGGTGTCATTCATAACAACTGGTTTAACACAACTACTCAGGAAAAGAAACAATACTACATGACGCAGTTTGTTAATGATTACTGGGATAATGGAAGTCTACCCATCTGGATCACGGCTCAACGACAGGTACACCTCAAACCATTAGAATTTGACTTTAAAGATTTAGTGCAAGGATTTATCTTTCAAAGTGAAAAAGCAAAAATTCAGGATTTTTAGGAATTATCATATTATACTAATATTTCTGGAAAAGCAGCATGACAAAAGAACTTGTTTATGTACCATCTATCATGAAGCCAAATTTTCTCTTATGGCCTTACATTCATATTTCCATTCTTCATTTTGGAGTAATTTGAAAGAACATTTACATTTATTCATTTATCAGATGCTTTTATCCAAAACGACCAACAAATGAGCATAAAAGAAGCTCTTCATATCATCAGAGAGCAGCAGTACCTGTATATTATTGCTACGATAAGTCAAAGTTAGTTTAATTTAATTATTTTTTACATTTGTTTTTATCTTCCTCGCCACGAGCATACAGAAAGGAGAGAGTAGTGTGTAGCAATAAAATAATTATTAGAAGGTGTTTTACAAAATGTCTGATGCATATGGAGAGAAAAAGACTGTCACATACAGGCGGTTTGTTAAGCCCACTCACCTCAGTGGTTAGCACTGTCACCTCACAGCAAGAAGGTTGCTGGTTCGAGTCCTAGCTGGCCAAGTTGGCATTTCTGTGTGGAGTTTGCATGTCCTCCTCATGTTGGCTTCTTCTAGGTGCTCCGGTTTACCCCACAGTTCAAAGACAACTGCTAAAAGAGAATTGAATAAACAAAGTGAAGTTTATTTATGAACTAATTTTGAGAGGATCACGTGCTTATGATTGCTTGTAGCTGGCTGCATATCATCCAATTTATGATTCACCAATCAGACGATTCCTAAGGCACTATAAATACCCTAAGTTCCATATCACAGCCATCTTCGTTTTGAAGAATCCCCCTATCCACCCCTACTCCTCCATTCCTAGATAGGTGGCACGGTGGCCCAGTGGTTAGCACTGTTGCCTCACAGCAAGAACGTCACTGGTTCTAGTCCTTACCAAGCCAGCCAATGTTTCTGTGCAGAGTTTACACATTCTCCCCTGCTCATATGGGTTTCTTTGGGGTTCCTCAATTTCCTCCCACCATTTAAAAACATGCAACTTAAGTTAATTGACTAATATAAATCGGCACCATAGACATGCTACTAGTAAGTAGTTATCTTATAAGAGCAATCACTATCTGTTCATTAACTCCTAAAGCAGGGGAGTTCTTGGCATCTACCTGAGCCCAAACTCTCCTCATGACTTGCAAATGGGAGGGAGCCTCAGGCTCGAGGACCTTATGAGCTCAGGGCTCTCTCCCGGCACAGCATGCCAAACAAATTTTATAATCAATCATTAGCTAAATGTGAACTCTTGAAATTAACCTTAGAATTGCCTTTATTGTATTAGTGTGTGTGTGAATGTGAGAATGTATGAGTGTTTTCCAATAGTGGGTTGCAGCTGAAAGGGAATCAGCTGCGTAAAACATATGCTGAAATAGTTGACACTTGGCAGCCCATTCCATTGTGGTGACCCCTGATAAATAAGGGACTAAGCGGAAGGAAAATTAATGAATGAATGTTTTTTAAATTAAAAAATGCAAAACAAAAAGACTCAACATAAGGAATGGAACTGGAGAAAATTCTTACCTTAAAGAAGGCAAAGCCTCAACACATTACAGTACCACAGATCAATAGAAATGTACGTTTTTTAGAAGTTATTTTAAATTCAGAAATTAAATTGATTAGAAATGTAAATTTAGTTTTTGCAGAAAGTTCACTTTAGCAAACTTTAATTTCTAACTCTAGGGCCTATAACAGTTATTTGCATTAATTTGAATAAACTGTACACTGACTTGAGAATGTGTTTTTTTTAGGGTCTTAAAACAGGATCCTTACACTTCCCTGGCACTGCAGCCAAATACCAGAACGAAAAAATCAAAGTAGGGGAGGTAGAACCAAGGTTTTATGACCACACAAATGAGACATTGTGGATGGAAAAGGTAGATAAAGTCATGAAAGACTGGTTTAAAGATCAAGACTTAGATTTTGTAACTTTGTATTTTGGTGACCCGGATTCAACCGGTCACAAATACGGCCCTGATTCACCTGAGCGTCGTGAGGCAGTCAAGAAAGTGGACCGAACTGTGGGCTACATACGAGAAACTGCTAAGAAACATGGGCTCAGTGATCATCTGAACATCATCATCACAGCTGACCATGGAATGAGCACAGTGTTCAAAGGAGACCAAGTCAAAGAAATAGTCCTCACCGACATCCCAGGATTCTCCTTGAAAGATTTGAAATTTCACATGGTGGACTATGGCCCTTTTGGGATGCTGTTGCCTAAAGAAGGCATGCTTGACAAGGTTTATAATGCCTTGAAAGGAGGCCATCCACACCTTAATGTTTATAAGAAAGAAGACATGCCTGCTCGACTGCATTACTCCAAACATCCTCGCCTCCTTCCCATCATCCTCTATGCAGACCCAGGATATGTCATCAATGGGGTAAACTCCTTTTATTGTTATAATAAGAATATATGATAAGCATTAGAAAGTATGTGACCATTTCTAAAATCTCTTTTCTGAATGGTCTTCCAGTTCTACGTATTCCAGAACAATAAAGGAGAACATGGCTATGACAATGAAGTGATGGACATGAAGCCTTTTTTCAGGGCAGTGGGACCAGATTTTCACAGGAACTTGTTGGTTGGACCATTTGAGACAGTCAACGTTTACCCTCTAATGTGTCACTTGATTGGAATAAGACCAGAAATCAATGACGGGTCGCTGGTTAACACCCGACACATGCTGAAATCAAATGGAGAGACATGTGGTTATGGAGGAGGTGACAAAAAAATTTGCTTAAATATTTGCTTAAATAAACCAAACATTTAATTTATTTAATATTTAAGAAGTCAGGGATTTAAAGAAGGATACAATATTTGTATTGCTTTAAGAGATAAAATGATGCTATAGACTTTTTGCTGTAACGTGTTCCCTAAAATATTATCCTAGCTTACTGTACTTGCAATCAACTGTGATATAAAATCAAACATAATCTCTGTTATCTATCTTGATGTTAAAAGACAAAATATCATGATAGTCATCAGATCTGGTATCTAGATGGCTATCTTGATAAAACTCTTTATGTAAGCTTAAAAATTGCACCATTGAAACAACTAAAATTGCTTTGTCAGCAAATCGATAAAAACCTGCAGAGAAAAGATTACCCTGTCCTTCCTGCAAGACCTTATGAACTATTAACATCAACTCTATCATCGTCTTATCACGAATTACACAACTTAGAGATATTGATTTTTTTTTCCTTACAGATGGTCCAGAGTCGAGTCTTCGGAACGTGTTCATTGGTCTTGGTGCTGTGGCTGGATTTTTATTGCTTGCGTTTGTGGTCATTACATCCTACAAAGTGCATAAAAGACGCAAAGTGAATCAAAGGTACAGCCTAGATATGCATGAAGACAAAAGTCCCGTTCACACCAAAGACAATAACTGTAGTGATAACGATATAATTGTAAAAACTTGCTAAATATAATAGAATTGGGAATAGAATAGAAATCTGATATATAACATTATATGCAAATTACACATATGACATACAAGTACATTTTTGGGTTTCACAGAAAGAATGTCAGACTGTATGCTGTATATATTTTATGCAACAAAGTATTGCAAAAATGTCCATATACATTGTTGCCATCAGAAATTATAAATGTGTACATGTTTTATATATGAGCAATATCACAATCATAGCAGTGAGATATGGCTGTATATCAGCACTGGAGGGAGGCGAGTGTTGCCTTAGTGTCCCACCAATGACGATATACAGCCATATTGCATTGCTACTCATGTGATATTGCATTTATACAAAAGTTTGTGATATAAAAAAAGAGTGTAAAAACCCTTTTGTATGAGGAACATCTGACATCAGAACAGCAGAAAGCATTGTTACTTCATCAACGTCACTTTAGAGCTATAGTATTTCAATGATTCTCTAGCGTAATGACTAAAGTGATGACAATCAGGTGGTTTTACTGACATTTTAAGATCATAAGACTGAACGGCATAAAATGCTCAGTCTAGGCATGGGCCGGTATAAGATTCTTTGATAACCTTGGATAAAAATATCACGGTTTTGCAGTTTTGTGATTACTGCTCTAAAATATTTTCTTTTAAATGTCTCGATTAAAAACTAAAACTTTTTTCCCGTTTGAACACAATATATTTTATTCTTAGAAAAATTTATGATGTTTTAGAACATTAAACATGTCAAGCTAAATGAATTACTGATTTTTTTCTGTCTTCATTTGTTTCAAAAACAGATTTTTTACTATTTAAAATGGCATCTTTTCTGCTGGAGATACTGTTGTCCCAAAAAACAAACAAACAAAAAAGCGAATAAAAATCTTACACATACCTTAGACCGATATTGCAGAAAATCTTGATGGTTTTAAAACCTTGACTTTTCCGAACCGGGGTATATCTTAAAAATGGTTATCGTCCCATGCCTACAGTTCGTACACGAGTCTAAAGAGATTTTCTAGTATTTCTCTGTTGCAATTTATTGTGATCTCTGTTAAAGGATCAAAATTATTATTCCCGAAAAAGTCAAAGCAAAACAAACACTAGCAGATTACTATAGATTTTGCATTAAGGCGATATCGCTAAACACATGCGGGCATTTCTTCTTTCTGATGGCCAAACAAAAAGTAACTCAGGGTTATACAAAGAGTGGCCAAAACAAAATACATACAGTCCCATCTCACACTCAGTACTCTACAATTATATGGTATAAATACAGTACTACAACATACAAAAGAGAGAGATCGACTTAAAATGTCACTTACCTGTTTAATAATGGTTTGATCAGCTGTAGTTAGAAATTACACATTTTTCTCATCTAAACACTCATCTTTTCTCCGCTCAATGACAGGCTAATGGCTGCTGACGCTATATGTCTCTCAGAAATTATAAATATTTAAAATAAGCTTTATCCTTAAAAATAAACTGCATAGTTGCAATCTAAACAACTATATTATCGACTAAAAAAGCCTCAAAAGTACCTTATGTTGTCCAACAGCAGCAATATTTGTCAAACTGTAGTGTTCTCTGCTTGTCACTTGTCACTTCTCTCTGGTAAACAGAAATTGGGGAAAAAAATAAACAGGGGGCTAATAATTGAGGTGGGCTAATAATTCTGACATCAACTGTATATGTGAAAAACAAAAATTTAACTTGTATGTCATATATCTAATTTGCATATATTGCCATATATCAGAATTTAATATAGGCTAAAAGAAATACTTGCTACCCAGATAACTGAAATCCAAATCAAGTTTTTTTTATTCTACTGAAAGTAACTCATAAATTATTTAGCTATGAAGAGCTTACACTTTTAAAGCAGCAGACAAGACTGCAGTGCATGCTTGCTATAAAGAGAACAATATATTGAGTTTGGTGTGGATGGTAATGCAGTTATCATTATTAGTGTCATCAGGCCTTTATTGTTATTGTCAGTACAATTTCTTTCAATCAAAATCTTATTTGTTACTTTATTTTGACTCTCCAACAGCCCGAAAGTCATAGATGATGAAGACCAGATGAAAGCGGACTCCAAACAAACATCATTTTAAGAGGACAGTCACTTATGTTTATTCTTAATCTCTTTCACTTATGCTGGATGGTTGTTTGGAACTGGATGTAATTAGTTTACACATTTTCTGAAAAGTTAATATAGAAAATGTAAGAAAAATATTGTCATTACATATTTAATATTTAAGAAATTCATGTCAAAGGCAGCTTGAGTAAAAAGATATTCAGAAATGTGTGTTTATTTTTCAATTAACTCTTATATTGTTGTGCTAAATATGCAAGTTATAATAAAAAAATGTTTATAAGAATTGTTTGTAATTTTAATGCAAAAATGTTAATTTCAAATGGTAAAATGAGCAAAATTGACTGCTGGTCTCAGACTCCCTTTAGCGTTTGATTAAAATGCAGCATATTTTACACAATACATACTGACGCCATCTAGTGGAAACAGCGAGTACTAAAACAATTGTGTACAGTATGTGAACCAAATGCATTTAATTAAATACTCACTGTTAATGGCAATCACAGGATATTCACTGAATTCATCAAGTATTCCAATCCTTTGGCACCCACAAACCCATCCACCTCACACACACATTTACCTTTAGCCACACACAATAGGCTGCACAACGCCAGTCGCTTCTATGGAAAAACACAAAGCAGAAAAGGGGGCTTATGAGGACTAAATGACTGACAGAAGTTATCATTACACAAAGCTCCAGATTCAATGATTTATGGTGAAATCCCGTCCAGTCATGTGGAATTTTCCCAAAATAAGTTTAAGTAAACAGCTCATGACAAAGAGGCACTCAGAGCAGCCTGGTATGCATAAACAGTTTGAACAGTGCGCTGCAGTGTAGCCCCCTCCAAACTCATTCGCACACACACACACACACACACACGTACACACACTCAGTCACCCGCCAGAGCAGAGCCAGTCTGGAAATGTGGAGTCTCCCCCTGGCACGCGCGCCAGACTCCCATCCATCTTCCAGTGCAATAACATTTCTCTGTCTCTCTGTCTCTGTCTATCGCTCTACTACTGTTGCAGGACACACACTCTGTCAGCACAGATCATCTGTTACGCTCTTGATGCAGGACACTTTTAAAGCAACGTTCAGAGTTTGGTGCACTACAGCCAGTGAGATGCCTCTCAGTGGACATATAAAAGTTAAACATGTTAAACTCAGTTAACAGGACTTGCGGTTTTATGTTGACAACCACAAAAATTCATGACGACTTGTCTGTCCTTTTTTTTGAAAAGAATTTAAAAAAATAAAACAAAACGGTATAGGGCAATTCCAAGTTTTTTTAATGTATTTCAGAAGTACGATATAACCACAAGAGCTAAACGGTAAATGCATGCTTAACTGCTTACTATAACTAGATCAATTTATATACAATAACTAGATCAATATATTAGAAAATGTGTTTAAAATGTGACAACAAAAACCTACTTATGTAATTTCCAGTAATAAAAAGGGAATTAGGCGATCCAGTGGCACAGTAGGTAATGCTGTTGCCACACAGCAAGAAGGTTGCTGCTTCGAGCCTCAGCTGGGTCAGTTGGCGTTTCTGTGTGGAGTTTGCATGTTCTCCCTGCATACGCGTGGGTTTCTTCCAGGTTTCCCCCACAGTCCAAAGACATGTGATACAGATGAATTGGGTAGACTAAATTGTCCGTGTTTCAGTGTGAAAGAGTGTGAGTGGATGTTTCCCAGGGATGGATTGCGCTGGAAGGGCATCCGCTGTGTAAAAATGTGCTGGATAAGTTGGCGGTTCATTCTGCAGTGGTGACCCCAGATTATTAAAAGGACTAAGCCGAAAAGAAAATGAATGAATGAATGAAAAAGGGAATTACAGTAGCTACTGTCATTATTTGTTCACCTAATCAAATTGCTACATGGACTAGTGTCCGAAATAGTATGCAAAAACTTGAACCAAAAGCATATATGTAAATGAAATTACGTTTTTTTTTTTGGTTCAAATTATAAATCAAATGTGATTATTAACCTTTATTTAATTAGCAGATGTTTTTAAACCTTTTATCAGCTCTTGTTTTTCCTCACAATCCCTTGGCATTGTTAGCATCATGCTCTGTTAGAGCTAAGAATAATTAATTAAAAAAACAAATGTGTTGGCCATTGTTAGATAATGTTAATTCATGCTTTAGCTAATTAAGTAAAGGGACTTTATTGCAAAGCATTTTAACAGATGAATTAAAGAAAGCCATGCCTTTTATTTAAAAAAAAAACAAAAACAATCTGCATTACTTTTAAAGGTGCAGTATGTAAGTTTAACAGTGATTAAAGGTATTCACATTCCTGAATCAAAACAAATGCAATTGCAGGTTTTCAGATTGAGGAGCGAGTCTGACGATCCAGTCCAAAGGCTGATTTAAGTCGTGTTCTATAGTAAAGCAATGGCCCACGATAGAGGGAATATTTTCCATATTAAAAGGACGTTTGTTCTAACCAAAACCTCAAACTGATATATTAGAAACAGCTTCTTTTTCTTGAAGCTGAACAACAGAAAACCTCAGGTTCGCCTCATGTGCTTTATTCAGTGTTAAATGCTACTAATGTGAGTTTAAACGTCATTTCACATGACATTAATTGCCATACTACTGAAAGCAGCAGCAGATCTTAAAAATAAAATAAACCATTTGAAATCGAACTTTAGAACTGTAACTAAAGTGCAAACATATATAAGTGATTCAGCATTTACATTTAATAATGTTAAAGAGGTTTAATACTTATTAATTAGATTATAAACCTTACCATTTCATGAGTGAGTGCATATTCTGTGCTTCTGAATGTCTGTATTTAAATTTCTTTTATGTTTTGTCTGGTGCAAACAGCCAAATTGCTTATCACTGCAAATCTACTCTTCTCACATAGTGTTTTTAAGACACAGGGTTACAATGTATTCTGCTCACCTAATGTGTACGTTTGTAATATTTAAAAATTTGCTAATTAATAACCTCATGTGGAACTCTGAATCTGCGTCTCATTTCAGTCTGCTACTGTCCACCGGAGGTCGCATTTCGGTCACGGTCGCATGCTATAAGAGCCTTTCTGAATGAATGAATGAAACAAGCGGTTTTCCACCAAGGCAACCCGTGGTGGAACCAAAATAAAAGACAGCATTCCGGCATGTAACAGACGTTTTCAAATCAGAATATCTGACTTCAGCATTGTTTTTCAGATAAACAGGAATGTTCACTTAGCATGTTTCTTAAATACCTGCAAACACCTGTATTTTTATGCTTTACAAGAGTCAAATACTTACATACAGCACCTTTAAAGTTTTCCACAATCTGCCGCATTTACTTCTATTGTTGAATTCTATTATCATCTCATTAACTGTATTTTTTAAGGACAAGTCAAAACTTGCCTTTGTGAACAGTGTCTGTGTGAACAGTGGTGCCGCTGGCCATTATGTGCCCTATGACAACATTTTGTGGTTGTCATGGACAAAAGTGAAGATAGGTAGGGTAGGGCCGGAGCTGGTTTGAGGGGTTTGGGGAGTCTGGTGGGCCCCAAATAGAAGCTCTGGTGGCCCCAAACTGGCATAAGCCCTTCGAATTGTCCTAATTCCCCCCATTACCTTCATAGCGGTGCCCCTGGTTGTGGAAATTGGTAGCACTTATTTTACATTCGCATTTCTCACACACATATTATGTGTAATCATTACATAAACTGAGTACTAACTAGGTACTATGACTAAACTTAATTCTGAACCTAACCATAATGCATGTTACCTTATATAACAGAGTATTTTCTTAGATACACTTTAAGTACACATTTAAGTACACACTTTAAGTACAGTGCAACCGTAAATATTATTCACAAAAACTACATCCAGACTTAAAAACTAAATTATTGCCTAAATTCAGCCTGTTTAGAATTTGTAATACTCCCTTTTTTGACAAAATATCTCTCAGTTTTGAATCTGTCAGTAACAACAGAGAGTAGAGTGCTGTTAACTGCCGTGCTTCCTTTTGAGTCCTTGTTATGACTGTCGTTTTGGCGGGTCATAGTGTAAACACTTGGGATTTTTCCTCTGAAGACCTACATAGCACTTATATTCTATCCCAACATGTCATTTCCCAAACCGGGGCACTCTTAATATTCTCTGCTCTCATCCATTATTAGCCGTTAGAGCACATGTCATACAGACATTCTTCTGAGTGGATTTTCTCTAACTATACGCGTATGTCTGCACTATTAAACAACGGCTGGGCCGGGAAACGAGCATGTTTACATCTGAGAACAAACGTGCCGAGCTGAAGAGAATGCAGAGCAGAGTATCAAGAGGATCATGCCGACTATTTTGTTCATGCAAGGCTATTTCAGGTTCATAGTGTATTGATTTTTTTCAAGTGCTGGCTTTAATCCCTCTCAATAGTAATATTTAAAAATAGCCATCCTATATTAATTTGAACAGTCATATAAATTAAACTAAAATATGGAGTTTTTTTATTGTGGTCCATCAAATAAAATGCTCCACAAGCTCCCAATAGATGAGGTTTGAAACCATTTAAACTATTTCACAAGGACTGGCCAAGAAGCACTGGTGGTCTTGGTCAAACGCCATGTCTTCCCGCGGCCTTGTCTCATGGGGGCGGACAAGAACCGTGTCGCCTCACACTCTGGTGAGACCTCGTAGGGGCTTGCGACGACAGATTTACTCTGACAAGCTCTGTGGTATGGCCGCCTGGCTCTGGACACCAGCACACCTCTCTGACATACCTGTCAATGAGGTGTCACTGCACAAAAAGCGCGCCGTACTTTCTTCTCCAGCGCCGCCATGGAAATACTGACTCAACACCTCCATATCCTCACTCGCCCGCTCCTACAGTCCCGCCCAGGCAGTTCTGATGAGGCATTCCTTTGAGCTGAAACAAGGCGTTAATCCATGATAACTTTTCCTCGTGCCAGCGTGTGGGTGCAGGTCTCTCCTCCAATGCTTGCCTCATGCTTTCAAGCCTGCCAGCTTGAATAACTCTAATGTAGCTGCAAGATTTAGGAGGTAATATCTATGTAAAGAGGGAAATGGTCTCAACAGTAAAGCCATAAATCTGTCATTTGTACTTTGATGGATAGACGCTTCAGAATCATTTTCACAAAGCGGCCCAACACAAAAAGCTGCCATTCGTCTGTGTCATCTACGCTTTGGGTTTATGTATTTGCATGAGCATTGAGGTGTGCAATATGGCACTAATGTGCGAGATGCTTTTTGCAATGTAAAAACAAATGACGTCCTTCTGTTACAGTTGCAAGAAGGTTTCATCAAAATCAGGTTG